GAGAGAGAGAGAGAGAGAGAGAGAGGGGGGTATTGTGTAGTTAAGATAAGTGACAGAATATTATACAGTTAGCCATTACACGTAAAAATAGGAAGGACAAGTCTTTAGGTCGATCCTCAGAAAATCTCTCACACAAGAGAGCTTTCAGTGTCAGTGTGAATACTTTCCTTTATGGATTTAGAGTGAGATAGAGAAAAATTACTTTAAAAGTTCCTTCCGCTGACCAGTTCATTCTCAATTAACTGTTTTGTTTCAGTAAGAGTTTCATGGCACTTGCAACGCAATTAGACCAAATAATAAGATTTGAGTTTTTTAGTTTTAGTAAGAGTTTTACGCACTTGCAACACAATTAGGTCATTTTAGCGCAGAAGATTAGAGGTGTTACAAGAGAGTGACAAATATAAAAAAGAAGGAGGGAAGATAGAGACGATAGATTTTTTATAGGAAAGAAGGAACAAACCACACCAGAGCTCCCGCCAACCACCCACATAAGATTTAAAGATGTTACAAGAAATAGGAAAGAAACAGCGATGAACTTTCAGTCCCGAAGGAAAGGAGGACAAACAAGAAGACTGTCTGGAGCTCAGTGATTTCATACATGTTTTCCACCTCTGATGCTTGTGACAGAAGACAGACAGTCAGTCAGAGAGGCAGGCAGGCAGACGGGCACGCAGGCAGACAGACAGACAGATAAACAGACAGAAAGACAGACAGCAGGTAGATAGACAGACAGACAGACAGACAGACAGACAGACAGACAGACAGACAGACAGACAGGCAAACAGAGAGGGAGAGTTGTAACTTAAACCTGGGTAAAATCAAGAAAAAAAGATTTGGTAACTTTGGTTCCGAGGACATATTGTTCCGACTGGCACAATTGATTTATTGAAAATCTGGGAATCAAACTCCTGATCTCAAGATATCAAGTCCATTACTTTACCAACAAGACTAGCACTGTAATGTGACTCAAAATTTACCCATCACATAGTACTAAAGTTTGTAATCATTAAGACCGTAGCCACAGGGAAATTTTTGTTCAAACAAAAGAAATCAGAATAAGATTAACAACATAATTCATCAAGAGGTCGGACATACAAAGGAAAACCGCAAACTTCTTAAGGTTTTTTTTAAAAACATTTTATTCATAACATATATACAACAACAATCAGTCAATATGTGTCAGAACATTGAACATCACGAAAATTTAAATTGAAGTTAACTTACCAAAAAATGAATTTCAAAACAAAATACAGGCACCATTTTTCTATCTTTATCAACTGCGATTTTCCCCCCAAAAAACGTGAGAAGTGACTTTCCAAACAAAACAATTTTGCTATCATTGACTTTTCAAACAAAACTTCTGACAATGTTCACCAACAAATAAAAAACCCAACAAAACAAACAAACAACCCCCCCCCCCCCTATA